ATGGAAAATGATAACGGGGTGGGGAGCCAGCAGGGGGTTGAGAATCCTATCAGGGCATTTGGGACCTGCTGGAGTGGCCAGGCCTGAGCTGACCCCATCTGTCTTCCTATCCCCAGGTGGCCCTTGGGCAAGCCCAGTGCAGCATAATAAAGGCCCAGCGAAGTATGGGGCCGATTGGAGAGGGCCTCCTGCCATCTCTCAAAGTCCCCAGCTCAGCTGGCCTTAGGGCAGACTTTAACTGAAAGCCCAGGCAGCTGCTAAGGGCTAGTGAAAAGGGAGATTTGTCTTGGCTGTCAGCAGATTCTGTGCTAGGGATTCTGGAACGAGACAAGGAAAGTCAACTTTCTACAGCTTTACTGCCTGCCATCAGAGCTGTTTAGGGTTTCCTGACCTAGACCCTGCCCATTCACATACACCCTGTTCTTCCTATTCTTTTATTCTCAATCATTTTTTTTTAAGATTTATTTCTTATTTATTTATTTATTTTATTTATTTTTGGCTGCATCGGGTCTTAATTGCGGCATGTGGGATCTTTGTTGAGGCATGCAGGATCTTTCGTTGCAGCGCGTGGGCTTCTCTCTAGTGGCGTGCGGGTTTTCTCTCTAGTTGTGGCGCGCAGGCTCCAGGGTGCGTGGGCTCTGTAGTTTGCGGCACTCAGGGTCTCTAGTTGAGGCGCGCGAGCTCGGTAGTTGTGGCGTGTGGGCTTGGTTGCCCCATGGCATGTGGGATCTTAGTTCCCTGTCCAGGGATCGAACCCGTGTCCCTGCATTGTAAGGAGGATTCTTTACCACTGGACCACCAGGGAAGTCCCTCAACCATTCTTTCTTAGAAATTTTTTTCCTTTTAAGATTTGAAGGAAGTTGGCTGGACAGGGGTGGTGGCAGGAAGGAGGTGACAAGCAGTAAAAAGTATGCACAGAAATTAAAGAGAAGGGGTCATAGCTCCTGAACACAGCTTGCTGTTAAATACTTCTGTGTCTGCACTTCTTTTTCTTTTATTTATTTATTTTTAATTTTTCTTGCACTTCTTTTTCTGTCTGGCAGCCTATATTTCAGGCATCATCCTTTCTCTGAAGTTTTCCATCACTGCCTATTCCCAAGCAGAGTTAGCCATTCTTTCCACCATTTGATTTCTGTACCTCATAGGCACTATGCCCTTCTGTGTATCACTCATAACTGTCTGTTTATACGTCTGCCTCTCCCACAGGCCCAAGAGTCACAAACTCAGATGCCATCACGGCCCAGAGAGGAAAAGCAAATGGGTGAAGTTGCTGGGTTTAGGGAAACAAGCAGTGGACGATGTCACACTGCTGGCCAGTATGCTAACCCTCAGGCTTTCAGCCCAAGGATTGTCGGGGGCACCTATCCTTTTCATCTTTGGTTCCAAAGCTCCTAGCTCAGTGCCTGACACAGTAATGGAACTTACCCGGAGGTCTTGAGAACCAGCTCTGCCCTAACGTGCTGTGTGACATTACAGAACTCACTCAACCTCTCTGCCATTCAGGTTCTCCCTTTCTTTATCTCACACCTCTTCAGAAAAGGCACTTTGCAGATCATCTAGGCCAGTCAGTGGCTTTTTCACTTTGTTCCTGAGGGACTTTGGCTCGAGGGGCTGATCTTCACAGGATGCAGGGGCAGACTGAGACAGCAGGTTCCCAGTCCTCTTGCTCCACAAAACCAGAGTGGTCCAACATTTTTTCAGTTTTAGAAATATATGATTTCTTTTGAAGAGAAGCGTTTGCTGCTAAAAAAATTAAAGTTCAAAAACCGTAAGGAATGCAGTAGGAATGGTATAGGTAGTTCTGCCTGGATTCAAATCCTGATTCTGCTACTTCCTTGTTGTATGACCCCAGGCACATGATCTAACCTCTCTGAGCCTCAGTTCCCTCTCCTAGAAACTGCTGGTGGTGATAATAGTACCCACCTCAGAGGGCTCCTGTGAGATTTAACGCGTTAATGCACAGAAGTTGCTCAGAACAGTGCCTGGCACAGAATGCTTAAGAGGTGTTAGCTACTGTGATATAATGAGGTCTTTGTCCCTAGTCTTGGCACAGAGCTCCTAAAACTCTGGGAGTGTCCTCAGTGACAGGTGTGTCTCTTGTTATTCATGAGTCCCTTTTGATCACACCTGAGTTTATTCTAATGAGATGACTTAGGAAGAGACCCCTCAACAGACTCAGGATGGGACTGGTCACCAGAAAGACCAAGTGATTAGAGACGAACCTTTTAGCCCCTCCTACTGAGCTCCAGGGAGGAGGGGTGGTAGCTGGTGACCAAGCTTTTTAACAGCTCTAGAACAATGAGATCCAGAGCAGCTTCCAGGTAGGTGAACCAGATGGGAGGGTTGTGCACCCCTACTCCACAGAGACAGAAGTACCCAGGACCCTTCCAGACCTCACCCTACAGACCTCTTTGTCTGGCTATTCATCTGTTTCCTTTATAATAAGCCAGTAAATGTAAGTAATCTACCTTCCTGGGTTCTGTGGGCTGTTCACAAACAAATTATCCAACCTGAGGAGGAGGTCATGGGGACCCCTGATTTATAGCTGGTTGGTCAAAAGTAGGGCTGGCTGGAGACTTGCAACTAGCATCTGAAGGAGAGGCAGTCTTGTGGAACTGAACCTTTAAGCTGTGGGTCTGCGCCAACTCTGGGTAGTGTCCGCATTGAATTGAATTGAATTGTTGGACAACCAGCTGGTGTTGGAGAATTGGTTGGTGTCAGAAAACACCCCACAAACTATAATTAGGGAGCACGTTCAGTCCTCTAACTTGGAAGGAGAAATTAATAGGTTTAACATTTCTGCTATCTTATGAATGAACTTTCTCAGAAGCTTTTAGTGTTTTAACCCAGAGAGGGACTAATGGTGGAAGATTCAGACATGGTGACTAGGCTTGGTTTAGGGCAAGGGAAGGACATAACAGCTCAGAAATGTCCTCACTTCAGCAGCTCCGCAATGTGCCTCTCTCTAGGGCTGACCATGATCCTGCCTTCTTACTCAGGAAGCGTGGGAATGTTCTGAATCATCTCTGTCCTTTACTTCTAAATCCTGCTTCATTTCCCCCACATTCTTTCCCTAGTCCAAGGGTTAGTCATCTTTTGTGTTGACTACTACAAGCCCCTCCTGACATCATCCTCAGCTCCTAACATCCCCAATTTCTTGCCAAAGATGTTTCTATCTCTTCCTATAGTTAGATTGCCTTCCCCCTTAGCATCCTGGACTTCCCCGTGGTAAAGAGAGCACAAGGTATGCTAGGGCCCAAGGCATTCACCACGTATTTGTTGACTCCTGACGTGATCCAAGTCCTGTGGAATATAGAGAGAATTTATGACACAGTCACTGTCTTCATAGAGCTCAGTCTATTGGGGGAACAAAATCAGACAAGGACAGTAAATCCCAGTAAAATCTCTCATGGAGATAACACAGACCACATGTGATCCCAAAGGAGGGTGCCTCCTTGAGGTCACAGAGTGTTAAGGAAGGTCTGGGTTGGGTGGGGGAAGTGACAGGTGAGCTGAGATTTGAAATTTGAATAGGAGGCCTCCAGGCTGAAAATTTGGATGGGAGATGCATTCTAGACAGAACTACACGTGCAAATCATGGAAGCGAGAGAGGGCATGCTGTGTGTGTGTGTGGTGTGGGCAAGACTTCGACTAAACGGAATGGCTCAGGGGCAGAGGCTAGTTCTGCTGATGTCAGGCCATCATCCCTGGTCCCATAGGACAAACTTAAGAGTGAGTCAGCCTGGCCCTGGGACAGGGCGTCACAGGCATGCTGTGGTACAGCCAACAGCCTGGCAAAGGCAGGTCACAGCCCCAGGGGAACCCACTGTTTTTAGGATTAAATGAGATAGTGTATGCCAAGTACCTGGCTCAGAGTAAGCCCTCAGTAAGTGGGAGCCATGATGGTTATTATTACTGAATTGCACTGTTAGTGTCACAGAGGGAACTGGCAGACGCTCTGTGTGGAAGAGCCCCCAAAGAGGATCTCCTAGAGAACTGTGACATCTGGGCTGAGACTCTGCAGGGCTGGTTCTTATTCTTTTGTGGGAAATATACTTTGGAGAATCTGATGAAACCTGTGGACCCTCTCCCCAGAAAATGACACATCTGCTCAGATGAAGATTTGCATATTATTTCAGGGACTTCACAGACTCCTGGAGGCCTGTCTAGTCGTGGAAACTGGTTGGACACAGCTGTTACTCGCCAAGCATGGCTGAGAAAAGTTCCCACTGTTATCTCGGCTTATTATTCCAGGTGAAAACCTCAGCTCATATAATTTCTTTTTTTTTAATTTTTAAATTAATTTTTATTGGAGTATAGTTGCTTTACAATGTTGTGTTAGTTTCTGCTGTGCAGCAAAGTGAATCAGTTATACGTATATATATCGCCACTCCTTTTTAGATTTCCTTCCCACTTAGGTTACTACAGAGCACTGAGTAGAGTTCCCTGTGCTACACAGCAGGTTCTCATTAGTTATCTGTTTTACACATAGTAGTGTATATATGTCAATCCCAATCTCCCAATTCATCCCACTCCCCATAATTTCAACTCTACGAATATTCTGTGTGTTTTAAAATACTAAGTGGTTGGGACTTCCCCGGCGGTCCAGTGGTTAACTCAGAGCTTCAAATGCGGGGGGCACGGGTTTGATCCCTGGTTGGGGAACTAGGATCCCACATGCCGCACAACGCAGTCAAAGAAGAAAAAAAAAAGCACAACTAAGTGGCGAAAAATAAAATAAATAAAATAAAAGTGGCGGCTGACAAGTGGGTGGAGGAGGGAGACCAGTGAAGAGACCATTCTGACAGTCCAGGGAGAAAACACGACTGGCTTCAGGGGCATGTGTCCTCTGCAGCCACACAGGGCCCTCCCTGTGCTTGGTTTTATGGTCTGCTGTGTCTTCCTTCCTAATGGGCCTTAAGGAGTCTTGCGTTTTCATTTTGCACTGGCCCCCACAAATTATGCACTGGACACAAATTATGCACTGGACACAAATTATGTCACCAGTCCTAGGAGAAGTCATGCATTTGAGTGCTTACTCTGTAAACAGCGCCTAAGTGGCAGTGCTGGAACTGGAACCCAAGCTGCTTGGCTCCAGAACCATGGGTCTTAATCTGTGTCATACTGTTTTCTGAGTCCAGAGGGCCCGTGAGAGCTGACAGGAAGGAAAAGAAAAGAAACATTGTTTCTTCTGCCAGAACACTGTTCACCAGGCCTTGGCCTCTCCTTCCCTCCTACTGTCTTCTCAGTATCAATGCCATGTCCTCAAGGAGGCCTTTCCTGGTCTCCGGACCTGAGTTATGGCCCCCTTATTCTTTCACTTTTTGTTATCCTTTAAGGTACTCATCAGAATATTTCATTATTTATTTGCATGTTTTCTGGTTTTAATGACAATTCCTCACTAGACTATTCTCTCAGTGAGTGCAGGACTGGTTCAGCCCTTAATCCCCAGTGGAGAGCCTGGTAGGTAGTAGGTATTTCATAGATAACAGCTGGAAGGTAAGTTCACAGAATGTAATGACAGGTCAGATGGGATAAAGGAGCGGGGAGAATGCTGCAGGGATTCCCACCTGAGTGATGCTATCCCTATATAAGAAGTTAGGAGTGGGGCTGGGATGATTCAGTGGACTGGGGATGTGTTTGAGAGCTTGAGTGCTTTTGGAGGGGGCGCCTTGAAGAAGGCAGTCTTCTACTGGCAAGCCCTTCCTGACTCCCTCCCCATTGCAGCCTGGGTGAGGGGCTGGCCTCAGCCCCCTGGGCAGACCGCTGCCATCAGTCATCTCCTGCTTATGCCCCTGGGGGTTGCCTGTTCCCTGGCCTGGGAAGCTCAGTGGGTTCTGGAACAGTGCTGCAGGGCTCATCTCTGGATCATAGGGCTCCCAGGGGTGTGTATGTGGTCAGTCGGGCTCAATAAATGCCAGTAGAAGAAAAGAGGGAAGGAAGAACTCAGGAGGGAAGCTGGGATGGGGAGCAGATCTGGGAAGTGGAGTGGAAATAGAGGGCCAAGGTTGGAGCCGCCGGGCCCTAGAGACAAGGTGGACAGAGGAATGCTCCAGCACCCTCGGGAGGCCAGGCACAGAGCTAAGTGCTTTATTCACCTAACTGCATTTCATCTTTGTGGCAACACTGAAGCAGTCATTATTATTCCTATTTTGTTAGGAAAACGGAGGCCCAGAGAGGTGACGTGATTTGCCCAAGGTCACACAGCGAGTGAGCAGTGAAGCTGGGTTTGACCCAGGGCCATCAGTCCCCAAGCCTGCACTCTTGCCACTTCACTCCTGCCTCTCGCCTCTGCTCTGCGCTTCCCTCCCCCTTCTCCCCTCCCTCCGCTTGCTCTGCCGCCCCGCCCCACCCCTCTCCTCCCCTCCTCTTCCCTCCCTTCTTTCCCTCCTTCCCTACCTCTCGGCGGCGGAGCCACGTGGTGGGGCCGGGAAGCCGCGGCCGCCGAGCGCCCGGGCGGCTGCCCCTGCTGGGCAGTGCTGCTCTGCGCTGCGCCGCTCTTGGTGCCTGCGCTCCCCGCTCCGCGCTCCCCGCCAGCCGCCCCGGGGCGGGAGACGCGCCTGGCGGCCGGCCGGCCAGACAAAGGAGGCGCGGCAGAGCCGGCGCGCGGGCGGACTGACCATGGACTCCGAGCGCGAGCAGCCGGCCGCAGCCCTGAGGACCCGGCGCTCCCGGGCCCGGCCCTAGGCGCCCGGCCCCGCCGCCCGGGGCGCCCAGCTGGGAGGACGCGGAGCCCGCGCGGCGCGGAGGAGGCGGCGGCCGCCGAGCTAGAGGGGCGCCGCGGCGAACGGCGCGCGCGGCCCCCAGAGCCATGGGCAAGTGCAGCGGGCGCTGCACGCTGGTCGCCTTCTGCTGCCTGCAGCTGGTGAGCGCCGCGCGCCCGGGCGGCCGGGCCGGGTGGGGCGCGGCGGGGCGGGGTCCCGGGGCGTGCGGTTGGGGTGTGTGTCTCTGTGTGTGGGTCTGGGGCGAGCGCCCGGGTTGGGGGGGTGGTCTGGAGTCACGAAGCGGACGGGCGGAGCCTGCTCGGGCTGGCCCGGCTGTCTCTTTGTGTGCACTTCTCGCCCGGCGCTCCCCAGTCCCCGAGTGCGTCCTGTGCGCGAGTCCCCGGCCCGCTCCGCGCCTGGGGCTCGGCGCGTCTCGCCCGCACTGTACGAGCGGCCTTCTGTTGGGGAGATGCGCTGTGGGACTGTGGCTCACCGGGGTTTGGGGGTGTTTCCGAGGCTGGTGTGTGGATCCGTTGAGGTCACTGCCGTGTGTTTTCCTCTAGATCACTCGTTTGCGTGGGTCTCAGCCTCTGGTCTCCGCCCCAGTGTTTCTCACAAAGTCTCTGCTCCTGTGTGTGTCTCTCTCCTGGTTTCTCCTTGGTATGTCTCTAGATCTCTGACCATTTCTGGTCCATGTTCATTTGTGTGTGTCGGGACCATAGACTCCAGGAACCGTTCACTCCTTTGTGCTCTTCCTGCCTCCCTCTATCCTCCTGACTGGGCAGGCCTGGGAATGGAGAGCCCCTCCCTGGAGAGGGTCACAAGGAGCTACCAGGTCCTGGGCCAGTCTGACCAACCAGGTGGGGATCGCCCTCCCTGCTTTGGCTGAGGCCACAGGCATTCTGTCAGTCACCATTGCCACCAGAGTGGGGGTTGGGGGGAGGCAGGCTCCTCTGCCTGGGCTGGCACTGATAGGGGTGGGATACTTGGGTGCCCTGGGGAGGATGGGAGCATCTGGGGACACTATACCTAATCCCAGCCCAGGGAACTCAGGTTCTTGTCTCAGGGAGGCCAGTGGAGTGAATTTGGGGGCCGAAGGGGACCAGCTCTGCCCTTCAATTCAGACTCTGGCAGGTGAATTTGGGAAGGTGTTTAAGGAGAGGCCAGGATCTCCTGCCTACCCTAGAGCTGAGGCCCAACAACTGGGGACTTTGGGGGCAGAGGTGCATGGGGACCTCCATGGACGGAACTCAGGTCTGAGTCTGAGTTGGGGGAACCTGAGCCTCACTACTGCCTGACTCCGTGGTCTGGGTCTCCACTTTTGCCTGCATCCATTGCCCTTCCTCCACCACAGGTGTGTACAGTAATGCAGAATGAAGCTTTGAGTGTGGCTATACAGGCCTCCTCGTTCATCTTTTTTCTCTCCTCTTGTGGACCCCAGCCCCGAACTTGCATCCACAGACCTGCCCTCTTGGGCAGCGGTTGAAACAGCTGGGCCCTGAAGATTGTAGCCCTGCTCCCAGCTGTGGGCTGCAGGGCAAGTGACTTCCCCGGGCTGGGCCATCTTGGTCGGCCTCTCGGTGAATTCCTCATCCTTGAGTGTGGCACAGGGGATTAATTAAGATCAGGTAGAATGGAAACTCCAGAAGGGCAGAGATTACCTTCCTTGTTCCCCCTAAATCCGCAGCAGCTGGAACAGTGCCTGGCACTCCATTAATATTTGTAAAATAAATGAGTGAATCAGTTATTTGGCAACTCCAGGCTCCCAGTTCCTCTTTATCTCCTTTGAGGAACATAAAATGCCAAGAGAAGTGCTGAAATTTTCCGAGGAATTTCTTTTTCTGTGTTAATTTTAAAATTTTAAACTAGAACTTTTTTTTTAATTAGAAAAGTAACACACACATATTATAAAATGATTAAATCAATAAATAACCAAACAGAGCAGCAGTTAAAGACGTTTCCTTCTATGCCCAGTCCCATACCCCAAAGGTAAGCACTATTAACAGTTTGGCCCACGGTCATTCTCTGTTGATGATAATAACAGTGGTTAGCTTTGGGGAGCACTTACTAGGTGCTAGGTACTCTGTAAGCACTTTTCCATGTATTAACTCATTTAATCCTCCTAACAACCCTATGAAGTAGCTTGCCCAAAGTTCTGCAGTTAGGGGCCAGGCTGTGAAGCCAGACAGCTGCCCAGCATCCTCTGTTGCCTTCTTAACTGTAAAAGTAGTTCTGGCTCTGGTGACTCAGGGGTCCCTTGGGAGGTGCTTCCTACTCTAGAGAGATGAAGGTGGCGAGACAGTATCCCTGCCTCTCACTCACCTGCCTCCATAGCTCTCCCCAGCTCAGCTAAAGCCACGCTTCCACTTGGAGGGCTCACCAGCACAAGGGGCTCTGGAATTAGACAAGACCTGGGTGGGATTCTGACCCTTCTACATCCTGGCTGGGTGCCTTTGGGCAGTTTGAGGGTTACATGACATAACTTGGAGAGGTGCTCTGAGGAGGGACTTGAAAATTGGTCTCTTGAGTCTGTTGCTCTGTCTGGTCCGATTGCAGAGTGGGTCCCTTCAGCTGTCGCTAACCCCCAGGAGCCTTCGCTGCCTGGCAGCTTTGGTAATGTGCTCCCGGCTGCTGGAATTCACCAGCCTGACATCATTCCAGGGAGAAGGGAGCCTGTTTTCTCATCCAGTGGACAGGCGCAGAGAAGGAAGAGACTGTTAAATGCTGCTCAGCTGAAAACTTTAGAAGAGGAACTGCGTCGTTTTTCTTTCTTTATGGGGCTTGATGATTACAAGATAACAGGCCAGTTCTAAACACTGTTCTGTAGTTGGGGTAGACTTGCTTTGGGTGAGGGAGTAGGATGTGAGGGTGCACTGGAGGGTGGGAGAAGGAGGTGGGGGCTGGACCGTTCAGGTGGACAAGTAAAGGAGACAAGACTCTGGAGTTTGACAGGACAGACATGGGTTTGAGCCCTGGCTCTGTCACTTCCTAGCTGTGTGATCTTAAGCAAGTTGCTTAGCCTCTCTGAGCCACAGTTTTGTCATCTGTTAAATAGAGATGATAGAAACAGTTCCCAAGTCTTAGGGTTGTTGTGAGGATGAAGTGCTTATAGCTTAATGCAGATGAGCTTAGCACTGTGCCAGGCACAGAGTGAGCATTCAATAAACTATAGTTTTTGATTGTTATTATCTTAATGATGTATACCCTGGTATGCTTCCCTGGAATTGTGACCCAGACATATCCAAATGCCCTCCTGCACTCTTCCTTTGTGGGAAGCAGCAGGTAGTTGGGCATGGAGCTAAGAGTCAGGAGGCCTGGATTCAAGCCTGCCTCTGCCACTGACATCCTGTGAACTTGGACAAGTCTTTTCCCTACTGCAAGCCTTGGTTTTTCCCCATCTGTAAAATGGGAAGAACCATTGGTCTGTGTCTCTAGGGTCCTGCCAGTTCTGCCCATCTGGGACCCTGGGAGGATGTCTGGACTGGCCTGGAGGTTTCCGTGTGTCTCAGTCTAGTTCCACTCTGTAGAACGTCTTGGGTGCCTTGCTTTCTCCCTACTTGGCATATCATCTTAACATTACTAATGCTATTCACACCCTAATTTTTATGTGTTTCCCTTTTCCCTCCCCTGTCCAAACCCTGCCCTTCTTTCCTGGTCCACCTCCTTCCTGAAAGCTTACAGGCTACTCTATTCTTCCAGTAAAAGGATGAACCAGGGAGATTTGCCCAAGGGAATCATCATCAATTTCTTCATCATCACCATGATCGGTCCCATTTCTGGAGTTCTGTGCTAAGCAGTTTATATGCATAACCTCATTAAACCCAGTGAGCTTACATATGTCAAGTGCTTGGCAAAGTTGCCTGGTACATGTTCAGCGATCCATAAACGTTAGCTGTTTTACTGTTTTTATCCTTCTTATTTTTATCCTGCAAAATGGGATAGATGTTTTTATGAGCCCCTTTTTCTGATGAGGAAACTGAGGCTCAGAGAGGTCTCTAAGCTAGTCAGTGACAGCACCAAGATTCATGCGCTCTTTTGCCGGAGCAGAGAGCCACCCTCTCCGCCCCATGTCACTCTGCTCCTCACGTTTAAGCAGCCCGTGACCTCAGACAGGTCTCTTCACTGCTTCAGGCCTCAGTCTCCTTATCTGAAAATGAAAATGATACTGTTTCAATAGGATCACGCACGTGCCTGGCACCATGAGCCAGTGAGTGGTCAGTAATACATCACTGCCATGATTGTACTTGTCCTGGCTGTGTGTGACCTTGGACACATGCATTCGCTCCTCTGGACCCCAATGTCTTTCCCTGTCAAAGAAAAAGAGTCTCCTTACCTCTCAGAGTTAGAAAAAGGGCTTAGGCAGCTGCCATGCACACAGTAGGTACTCAGAAAACACATCAGTTTCATTCTTTTCCCCTCTGGAAAGCTCTTTGCTTTCTGGAAGATGGTGGGTGAGGGGGGAAATATGTTGCTTCCTGCTGAGCTGCGAGTAATGGTGTGAAACGTGGTCAACCTGATTGATGTCGTTATTAGCAGCGGATGGTGAAGACGTGAAGACCGGAGGGAGCTAGGCTCTGCAGGGGCCTGCGTTCAGAAGCAGCTGCATCTGCAAGCTCATGGCTTCCTGGGGAGGGGCTGGCTCTGCTCTGGGTGCTTCAGGTCCTTGGGCCGGGCTTCAGAGTCAGAGCACGAAATCGTCCAGGCCACTGACCCTCTTTGTTCTTTATACCTCTTTGACAGGGTAGAGGCTGGGGTGATCAAGTCCCTTTTGCAGATGGACAGACTGAGGCCAAACTGCCCTCAAAACCCTTATGAGGTGGGCAAGGTGGAATGGAGCAGGGGCCCCTGCCCGGGGGGGAGGTGCAGTGGATGGCCCTGGTTCTGCTCCTTTGCAGGGGTGGTGGCTGGGGGATTTTGACATAAGTACCCCATAAATGGCAGCCGCTCTGACATCTGGCACAGAGGGGTGAAGGACCTCTGGGATCAGGCAGACATTGCTGCCTTGCGTTGTGACTTCCAGAAAGTCCCTTACCTTCTCTGAGCCTCTGCCTCTTTCCTGTAAAGTAGTCAGGACAACAGCTCCTACCCCGTGGTAGTTTGGGAGGGTTCCCTGAGATGGTGCCCGGACAGCACTGGCCCAGGCAGTGCTCCCTGCGGCTGG